GAATAAAATTATTCTAAAAGAAGGAAATGATCAAACATTGTCTTATAGCTTACCCCTATTTCACTCTTGGCTGCACTTAAGTATACGATTGCTGCCTGCATATATCTTACCAACTAGATTTTAAGCAATAGAAGGTTTGTTTGTAATTGTTTGCTATCGGAAAATAACCAATTGAAAGTATTTTAATTAGTAGCACTATGTGGATTGTTGAAAATAAAAACAAGTGTACACATAATTTTGACCCCAATAATTTTAGACTACAGTAAAAAATGGGTATAAAAAAATAACGGACAATCGAAAAAAAGAAATTCAAAATTAATTTTGATCTTAGTTGTCATTAAGGGTTAACTTTTCAAAGCAAGGGTTGAGAAATTTTAACGGTGAAAACACCGCTCGAAGATTTTTTGAGAGCAATTGAAAATCTGCAGAAATAACTGGTATAAATCAATATTTTTGACACTGTAACTACTTTTGTGAAAAGATTCATTTCAATTGACTTGTTGTTAGGGATCGACGAAGAGCTAATACAGAGATTTTATGAAATACTCATAACAATAACTTGTGGATGTACAGTTGATGAAATTGCTTTTAAAAAGTACTGCTTGGAAACCACAGAGCGATATGTAATGTTGTATTCTTGGTATTATATGCCACTAACAGCTCATAACGTAACTATTTTTTTTTCAACTTATTAGCAGATTACAGGGTATAAAATTTATAAACCACAACTCAAGTTCGGGACAACTGAAAAAGCTCTACATTTTTCAATCTACCGAACAGGACTGAGTTAATTTATCACCAATCTTAATGTTGACCTTTGTACGTGTTGAAAAAAATCATATCATCTGCTATCCTGTACTGCGTTTAACAATTTGATGCATGGCACATCAGTGATACGACATTGCGTAGTACCTTTTGGTTGTTTTTTAAGAGGTTTAAGAAATTTTACACAAGGTTACAAAACTATTAAGAGGAGACAACAGCAGGAGAATGTTGCGTACTAAAACTAACGATGATATCATTCATGGACTTCTTTTACACTCGGATCCTTACATTTCATTATTAGGAATTAAACCTAAATAAACAAAGAAGCCATTTTTAACTAATGTTTTAAAATTATAACCAGATACTGGTTGTATTGAAATTCCCGCTGACAAAGATAACGAATCTAGTGATTCCAAATCGGAATTAGAGTTTGATTAAATACTAATGTTAAGTTTTTAGTTTTTAAAATTTTATTACAAGAAAAAAAGATAAGGTAAATAAAAACTTATGAACAAGAAATTATTTCTTACTTTTAATTTTTATTTCTTTATTATACATCTAGAAAAATATCATTAAGGGGTGAAGGGGGTAGATTGTTGTATGTTTGACATAAAATTCGTAATAGCGACCCCGAAAGCCTTGGAAATGGTATACAATTTGGTAGCTTTATAAATTATGTGGTATTTCATGCAAGGGGGTGGCTCTTGAGGATTGGAGGGGGTAGATTTTTATGCATCGAGACTTTAAAAATTTTCGAGAATGAAAAAAAAAGTCATCTATTAATTAGTTTTGTTATAGTTGCGGGGATATTCTCTTATTTATCCTAGCTACTCGTATGTAGATTTTTTTTTTTTTTAATATTATAGTGCTCTACGTCCAGCTCCTTTGTTAAGGACACTACTATGGGCACTTAGCACTTGGGAAAGGGACAAGGAAAGGGATGGAAGGCCTCCCGCGTCTCTCGCGTACCAATCCACGACCCAGCTGACTGAGCCACTGCGCGCTCACTTCTATATATATATTAACTAGAGCTGCTTTATTTCTATAATAAAATGTGTGATGTCATTAGAAATATAATATGGTGGGTGGCACAATATGGCAAACGAGCTTCTTTTTCAAGCACTCTGGAATAATATGTGTTAAACAGATGGGTTAAATATATATTATATTTAATAAAGTTAATGAGCGAAACTCCAATTCCGATTCAATGTGGTGGTCAATACAAAATGGCGAATTACTTATGTTTTTGCGACTCCCATAATATGGGTGTCACATAGCAGGGCCTAAAAAAATGGAGTACACAAAACTAAGCGTCTTTTACTAACAACTTAAATTTGTTAAGTAAGGCTAATATTTATACTAAAATGGTAAAAACAAAATGTATGTACGAGTCACATATAAAAATTAAAAAACGTCTAACAACTCTTTTGCAAAACTAAAAAATGGCGAATATATTTAAATAGTTGCTTTCACTGTAGATCATAAAAGACATTTAGAAGTAATGCTGTGCAAAAAAGTACATACAAAAAATTTTAATAATTTACATGCAAAGATATGCAATTAATACAACAAATTGAAGCAGGAGGTGGAATAGTTCTTACACTTTTTTCACTCAGCTTAATATACTAGGGAAATCAGTATAAATTGTTATGATACTTCATACGTAACACACAATATGTGAAAAAATTAGGGTACAAAACATCAGACAACGTAATGACCGTTCGTTATTATTTATTTGAGAACAAAGAATTAAATTTATTTACGAGTTATTTGTGATGTTAAACCATATTTTTAAGCCCCTCTTTCAACATTCCAAAAAATTCTTATTTATGTGATTAGACGTGTACTTAAGGTAAAAGCTCTATTTATGAATAAGCATCAATAACAGTCCTTAAGTCCTGAACATGGCGTCATAATAATACAAGTACTGTGACGACTTAGTCTCACTAATTCTTCCTATTCTTCCTAATTGATTTTAGACGATTAAAATATTAATCATACGGCAATGCTCTCTTGATCCTTCAATCATACATTGACAAATGAAATCTTGATTAATATTTATTTACTATGATAGTATTTAAAAACTAGTCACGTGGTGTTATATTTCTGTTGTGGCTGTTATATTGGGCTACTTAGATATGTGTACTCCATTTTTTAGGCCCTGCTATGTGACACCCATATCATGGGAGTCGCAAAAACATATGTAATTCGCCATTTTGTATTGACCACCACATTGAATCAGAATTGGCGTTTCGCTTATTAACTTTATTAAACATAAAATATATTTAACCCATCTGTTTAATACATATTATTCGAGAGTACGTGAAAAAGAAGCTCGTTTGCTGTATTATGCCACCCGCCATATTATATTTCCAATAACGTCACACATTTTATTGTAGGAATAAAGCAGCTCAAGTTAATATCTATAAAGAAGAAGTTGCGATAAATTAGACAATATCCCCGTAACCACAACAAAACTAATTAATAGATGACGTTTTTTTTTCATTCTCGAAAATTTTTAAAGTCTCGATGCATATGAGGTTGCAAAACTGAGAAAAAAAATTTTTCAAACGTACAGCTTAAACGACTAGAAATTGTTTGAAATGAAAAAACAACAAGCTCCTAGGAGAACTTTAAAAAAAAATCTCAGGTGAGATCTCAGGTGGTTTCTCAGCTGAGTTTTCAGCTGAGTTTTTGGCTTGAGATTTCACCTGATAAATCAGCTGATAACTCTGGTGAGATCTTACCTGATCATTGAAGACAGGGCCAAAAAGGACGGTAGATATTCTTGCTCTGCCACGATGTAAGAGTACCAAATTTTATTACCTATAATCTTCAGATTTTGTTGTTGGGGGCAGGGGGGGCAGTAAGCTGGTACTTTTTCGCTGCTACGACTGGTCCAGAACTTTAGTTAATATCATACACGGCAGTAATGCTTCGAGGAGTTTTAGCCGAGAAGGAAGAGAAGTAGCAGCGCACATTTTTGCATAGCCGCAACAGGACTAGAACTGGAGGTGTGAAATGGAACGGTAAAAGAAGAAATTTTAAGTAAAAATACTCATTATAATAAAAAAAAAAAATTAATAATGTTTTAAGAAATTAAAACATCAATTTACAAAATTCTGCCCAAGCCTAACTTCTACGATATTGTTATAACAATGGCATCGAGAAGAGGATGGCATGCGTTCTGGCACCACTGCAAAGTGGTAAAAAACAGGAAGAATGACAGGCATTCCTGTACGCTAGCGTTGTTATTAGAACCAGGAAGGGAGGGGCAAGCATCCCTACACTATTTCAACGTGCTTCAGGCAGGGTAAGGAAGGAGTGGTATACGTTCCTGCACGAAAAATCGAGATCAATTAAAGACTTTAAAAAAGGATGAAATAAAAAACTACTTAAATAAATAGTTCTTGTATCGTATTGTATCAGAAAAATATAGATTTCTCGTTAAAAAAACGTGAATTCTATTCACTCACAACACATTGAAATAGTTTGTTTTCTTGATTTTCAGAATAATAATTTGGACTATTAAAAAAAAAAAAAAAGTTTTTTTTAATAATAAACAAAATACAAAAATATTGTACGTTGCCACTGAGGTGGAAATTAATACTAGAGCCATCGAAAGACGTGGACGTGGTTATGGTACACGTTTGAAGTGATTGAAGTGTCAATCCATGTTAAAATCATTAGACAAGTTGAATATTGCATCAAATTGAACCTACAACTATTGTAATTCTATGTGTACGATTAAACATAGATGTACTAATTAACACATAAATATATGCATATGAATATGTAAATTAAAATCTATATGTATACGTATATGATATACATAATAAATATTAAAATACCTAATATACTCAGATAAACATGAATACCTACGTGTAATGTATGCACATGAGCGTGTGAGTATGTGTAGCCAGCGCTATTGAACCGAAGTGCGTGTCGATCTGCGTATCGACGGCCAGTCGTAAGCCAGCCGGCTCACAAGCACCTGTGCTTATGTAATATCTACACTGTTACTAATAAACTAAACTTATACCTAATACCAGTATCTACGCTTACTCACACATCCCATGAATATAATATATCAACATATATTACACTGGCGACGAGGAAATCGGAAACGCGTGTTACAATAAAACGGGCGTTTCGTGCAAGTGGGTTGTGAGTAAGTAGGAAAGTCGCGATCGTTTTGAAGTAAACGTGTTCAAAATATGAATATCGCGAGAATAATGGTTCGAGTAACAGTGGGAGATTTGGCTACGGGATTAATGGCCAGTGGAGTTCACGAATCTACAGACGCTTCAGTTCGCACGGCTTGGATTAACAATTTATCTAAGCAAGGAGTAATACAAGAATTGAACCTTAGAGAATTAGAATTCGACGCCCAATCGACGTTAGATGAACTGCGTAAAGTTCTAGTGAAAGTCGTGCGTGAACAGGCAAAAGCGCCAGTACCGGTTGAAGGTACTGATTCTGCAACTGCAACTGAAAACGAGGAAGAAACAGAAGAAATGGCCCAGTCAGAAGCAGCAAAATTAGAATTCGTCCTCAGCAAGGATGACTGCGAGATTTTCGTCGAGCGACTGGACATAATGTTCATGGCAAGAGAAACTAAAGACAATAAAAAAGCAGCGATTTTGCTAACTAGATTGGACGAAGATGCATACAAATTGATAACAAATTTATGCGCACCAGCAAAGCCTGTAACAAAGGATTACGCTGCACTGATTAAAATAATGGGAGATCACTTGGCGCCGAAACCCTCACAAGCGATGGAACGCTGTACATTCAACATGGCAAAGTAAGAAAGCCACAAAAGCGTTGCTGATTTCGCAGCATGGTTAAAAAAACTGTCTCTACATTGCGAGTTAACGGATTTGCCTGCAGCATGTAGAGATCAATTCGTATGTGGAATCCGCGACCAGGAGACAAAAGTAGCATTGTTTAAAGTCGAAGATTTGACTTTTGAAAAAGCGTTAAAAGAAGCTCAAGCTAGGGAGAGCGCAGTGAAAAATGCTTTAAGTTCGCTCCAGACCTTGGATGGAAAGAGAACACAAAATAATGTTTTCAAATTCAAGGCTACAAGCAATAGTCAAAATCGAAATTCAAATATAAAGGCTGATAGAAAGTCTGCCAAGTGTTATCGTTGTAATAGTGAAGACCACAACGCAGCTACGTGTAAGTTTAGAGACTATGAGTGTAATTATTCCCATAAGAGAGGGCACTTACAAAGGGCTTGTATCGCCAAAGCTTCAAGACCAGAGATGAAATACTTAGGTGGACAAGAAGAGGACAAATTTGGAAAACAACGGGACGGCGATGACAACAGCAGCAGTAACGAGAGCGAGGCCGAGGTGACGCCATCAGATAAGAATTTGTATATGAGGGATTTCTATGTTCTGCGTAAAGGTAAACAAAGCGAGATTACGCGCTCAGGCAACGCGGAGCCTACGTTTTTAAAACTTACGATTAATAGGAAAGCGGTTTCAATGTTTTTGGATACAGGAACTTTCTATACGGTCATTTCTGAAAATTTTAAAAGTAAATATTTTCCTGAATTCCAAGTCGAACAGACGAATAACGTGTTGTATGGTTACAACGACTACGCGTTTCATGTTACGGGAGAATTAAAGAATTTAAGAGTGAGATTTATCGGGCTAGAGAAGCGATTAAATTGTTTTTTTATGCCAGGTTCGGGACCGCCGTTGATTGGTAGGAAATGGCTTGAGGCGTTTGGGTGCTGGCCGTTACAAAATTTAATAGATAAACAAAGGGAGACGAATCAAATATTTAAAATTGATAACATGAATGTTAAAGAGTCTATTACTAGGAATTTTCCTACATTGTTTGATTCGTCCCCAGGTTTATATAATAAAAGTAAAGTAAACTTATATTTGAAAGATGATGCAAAGCCGATAGCACTCAAGGCGAGACATGTGCCACACGCGCTCAAGCCGTTGATCAAAGAAGAAATTGATCGTTTAATTAGATCAGGGCATCTTGAACGCGTTGAAACTAGCGAATGGGCCACACCGATCGTGTCTATCATGAAAAGCAATGGCAAGGTGCGAATATGCGGAGATTACAAATTAACTATAAATCCGCAGCTAATAATTAACAAGTATCCGTTGCATCAAATTGATGATATTTTCGCGATTTTACAAGGAGATGAGCATTTCTCACAATTAGATCTCTGTCATGCGTATATGCAGTTTGCCATTGAAGACAAATGTAAAAAGTTTTTGACTATCACGACCCACACGGGATTTTTGCAATATACTAAACTGGGCGAAGGTGTAGCGTCAGGCCCAGGTATTTTCCAGCAAAAAATCGACGAATGCCGCGCAGGTAGGTATATCGGGCGTCATAGCTTATCTTGATAATATTTACGTCACGGGACGTAACGATACTGAGCATACTGATAGACTCGAGCAAGTGTGTCAGAGACTATCGGATTGCAACTTACGTTTGAATACAGAAAAAAGCGAGTTTTTTAAAGACAAAATTGAAGTACTTGGTTTCGTTATAGATCGTGATGGCCTACACAAGGAAAAATCAAAGGTTAAAGCCATGGTTGAAGCGCCTAAACCTATATTAACTAAAGAAGTAGCATCGTTTTTAGGTTACTTATTTTTATTCGCGGTTCTTAAAAAATCAAGCAGTTAACTTGCAACCACTGTATGCATGCGCGAATAAGAAAGTTTTCGAATGGTTTAGCGAATGTGAAAAAGCGTTTAACTGGATCAAGGCGGAACTTATATCACCTCGTGTATTGGCACATTACGATCCAAGCAAAAAAATTATGTTGGCTTGTGATGCGTCAAAACACGGCCTATCGGCTATTTTATCTCACTTGTTTGATGACGGCACCGAGAAACCCATAGCATACGCATCAAAAAGAATTCCGTCAAAAGAAATTAATCGAGCGATAATCGATAAGGAGGCTAGTGCGATAGTGTACGGGTTTAAAAGATTTTACGATTTCGTATACGGCAGAGAGATTATTCTACGCACCGATCATAAGCCGTTGCAACATTTTTTCGGGCCTAAAAAGGGTATACCCATTACCGCGGCGAGTAGATTACAAAGATGGGCATACCTACTATCGGGTTTCAATTACACCATCGAATACATTAAATCAAAAGATAATAGGAATTGTGACGCGCTGTCACGTTTACCAATCGAAGATGAAACGGATATTTTCGACCAAGATTTTACATCTTTTTATTATATTGAAGGCGGATTAGATTCAATCGATTGGAAAACGGTCCAGGAAAAAACAAGGCGTGATGCGACTCTTAAACAAATTATGCTGTATGTAAAAAATGGATGGCCCTTGGAAATGCCAGAATATGCTAAGAGTTTCAAAAGTAAAAAAAACGAACTTTCCTTAGAGAATGAATGTTTATTTTGGGGCATTTGAATCGTAATACCAAAAGAACTTAGACCAGCAATATTGCGAGAGTTTCACTTGTCACACCTCGGTATGGTAAAAATTAAAATGTTTGCGAGGTCGTACGTGTGGTGGCCAAATATCGATGATGATATTGAAGCCTTAGTTAAATCGTGCGAAATATGTAGTGAAAAGCAAAAAATTCGGGAAGGGCTGTCTTAACACCGTGGTCATGGCCCGAAAGAGCATGGTCGCGAATTCATTTAGATTTCCTAGGTCCGTTCATGGGACATATGTTCCTTGTGGTAATAGACGCCCATTCAAAATGGCCCGAAGTCATTAATTTCAAGAACAATACGAAATCGTACAGAGTGATTGAAGAATGCAATAAATTGTTTGCGAGATTCGGTTACGCGACCCATGTAGTAACTGATAACGGTCCTCAATTTGCGAGCGTCGACTTTAGAGAATTTAAAAAAAATAATGGTATATAACTTTCGTTTTCGCCTCCATATCATCTGGCAACCAACGGCGCAGCCGAAAATTTTGTTCATACATTCAAGGATAAAGTAGGAAAAATCGTGGGGGGGGGAAGAGCTTGAATGACGCAATTAAAATATTCTTATTCGATTATCGTAGCTATAAGCACTGCACGACGGGAAAAAGCCCGGCTGAATTGATGTACGATCGTGAGATGCGCACTAGATTCGACATACTGCGCCCAGTACACACACAAGCTACCGTGGAAAAAAGCCAACGTGAGCAAGTCAAAACCTGTCGAGGTTCGCATCGAGTCGATTTCAAGTCAGGACAAAGCGTTAGCGTTGCAAATTATACCGTCAATAAAAAAATCGAGTTCCTGGCATAATCGAGAAACAGTTGTCGCATGCAACGTATAGTGTTAATGTCACACCCGGAAAATTTTGTAAGCGCCATAAGAATCAGCTAGTTAAGACCGATGTCACTAAGCTAAGACGCTCGTCGCGCATAGCCGCTAAATTTAAGGGCGGAGAAGTGTAATGTTTGCGCATGAGTGTGTGAGTATGTGTAGCCAGCGCTATTGAACCGAAGTGCGTGTCGATCTGCGTATCGACGGCCAGTCGTAAGCCAGCTGGCTCACAAGCACCTGTGCTTATGTAATATCTACACTGTTACTAATAAACTATGCTTTTTTTTTTATATTATAGTGCTCTACGTCCGGCTCCTTTAATAAGGGCACTACTATGGGCACTTAGCACTTGGGAAAAGGAAGGGAAGAAGGATAGGAGGCCTCCCATTACTGGGAGGGGGGTAGGGGGAAATTAGGCAATTATGCTGCGAGAAGGTTGCCTAAACCCTCCTCGAGGAGCATTGCGTGGTGAAAAAGCACATGTGAAAAATCACAGAGGTACTTGCCCAAAAAAGTCGCACTGGCCGGGAATCGAACCACGGTCTCCCGCGTGCCAATCCACGACCTAGCCGACTGAGCCACCGCGCGCTCTATAAAATAAACTATACTTATACCTAATACCAGTATCTACGCTTACTCACACACCCCATAAATATAATATATCAACATATATCACACTACGCATATGTACAAATAGCAGCCCTCCGTCTCGGCTTCGCCCGAGAATTACTAAATAAAACACCGTAGTGTGTTGACATGTAATGTGAAATGTTTTCAGTTAGAGATTTTACACATATTCCTGACACATCTCAAAACAAAAATCTTCTTATTAAAATTATATTTTTTCGGAATCCATATAGTTTATTTGGTCAAATAATAGGGTGTGAAAATTCAAAAAAAATAATTATGCTAAAAAGTACCGTGCATTCTTTATGCCACAAAATAATCAGTGGCCATAAGAAGCTGTTGATTTACAGTTTCTCCCGTATAATTCACGAAAAGGGCTTTTTTTTAAAGCTGTTAAGATTTTAAACCCCCAAAAAGTTTATATAAAAAAAAAAATTTTTTTCTCATATCTCACAACTTTATNTTTTAAAGCTGTTAAGATTTTAAACCCCCAAAAAATTTATGTTAAAAAAAAATTTTTTTTCTCATATCTCACAACTTTATTACCAGAGCAACAAAGTCCTGGACCTTAAACCCTACATTTTTATTGTTACAAAAACACAAAAACATTTTTTACTTATTTAAAAATCTGAAGTAGAATCCTTAAAGATTTCAGAGATTGCTGTGAGGGTACAATGAAAAGCTTATCTCTCACGTAATGGACTCTTTAGTTGTCGATTTTGATGCTGCTGTTTCAATCTCGATAAATTTTCTGCGTCAGTTTCTTGACGCCTAAGCAAAATTGTATTTATTAGTTACATTTGAAGTTTTTATTCCACTTCACCCTCTAGCGACTTTTGGCATGCTTAAAATTTTTGTGACCCCTAAAAGCTGTTTTCTGTCAACTTTGTTAAGTTCTAATATATTTTTTGGCAAAGTAGTTCGACGTCCGATGGCCCTCAAAAAGACTGGTGAGCTTCTTACGTTAACTCTTTCTTGACTGCAGTTAACAGCAATTGTGACTGCCTGGATACCTCAGGGTGATCTTCTCTGGCTTGCTGTTGAAGACCCAGACTGATCGGGAGAAAAATTACAAATCCGAAGCTTTGGAGCTAGTTGTAGTGCTCTTTCCCAACGTCTCCCGGTATAACGTCGAAGACGTTGGTGTCTAAAGCATCTTTTTTATTTTGCAGATTCAGTTGTTTTGGTGATCTTAGATGGGGAGATTGGTTAGTGATACTTGTCCAGTGGAGGCTGTCCCGTTGGCTCAAGTTTTTTTTCCTTCATAGCTGTTATAGGTTTGCCCAGCGCAGACCTTGGAGAGGATCAGTGTTTCCTGGTTTGATGCTTAGAGTCGAGAGGGTAATATAGGGTCGTCGGTCACCGGGTTTTCCAGCCTTGCGACGAACAACTCCGCAGGTGACGTCTGCCAGTGAATAGCTGACTTGGTTTAATAGTGCCCGTCTTTAGTTAATATAGTCTTTTAGTCGACGAATCGCTTCCGGAATTGGTAATGAAAATGTATTTGTTGGCAAGGTAGTTTACATTTAGGTGGATCCTAAAAAGAACCGATGAAATTGATGGTTAAGTAGGGAACGCCAATACTTATGATGGCCCTAAAAAGCGCCTGTGGTGAAACTTCCAGGCTATTCTTTATTATTATTTCTGATGATAAAGAGCTGGCTACGGGTTACTTGATTCTTACCCTGGGAGTCTCGATGTACGGAGACTGTGATGGAAGGAGGTACGCCGCTGACCAAATAATATCTCGTCTCGGGTCGTTCCCTGGATAACCAACCGCTCATCGTTAGACGGGAACATTTGGGTAAGCGCGTTGGGAATGCTATGACCAAGAAGGTAGCCATTGTGGCTACCCGAGCCCCTCAGAGCTGTTTTCGCTGGCTTACATTTGTAGCCAAAAATTCTCTAACTGCACCAGGTGAGATGGTGGGACTGCCACACATCTCTGGTGAGTTGGAGCAGATTGAGCTCTGGCTAGATATGTCTCCGGGTATTGTGGCAGAGACGACATCGGTTGGAATAATTTTTTTTTTTGGTCGCACTCGTCGAGATTCAGGGTGAGTGGACACCTAGGTCCCTTTCCCCTTAGATAAGAGTGCCGTCCGTAACCGGGATACCCAGCTGCAAGACTGTCATCAGCATTCTCTATACAGCTCGTTGAACTGCCGAAGCTCGACAACATCACTATCGAGACGCTCCGGCCTATTATAACCACACTTATTTAATTCTGTTGCAGGTAGCCTCAATTTTATGGCGACGCCACCTAGCAGATTGTACTGAACTAAAGTGAAAAGCTGGCGAATTTTTGCAAAACTTTGAGCTCATTTATTGCTATTGTTATTAAATTTTTAACGATAAAACCATCTAGGAAGTATCATAAATCAGTGTGCAAAATTTCAACAAAATCGGTTCAGTAGTTTTCGCGGTTAGCAATTACAACGGTTTTAGCGTTCTTGCTTTGTATATTAGTAAGATAAATAAATATCTGTTAATGCGTCCATATTAAGACACACATACGTTTGTTTTTTGTGATAGTGTACTGACTTTAAGGTATGTGTGCGCTTTAAACATACGTTTATCACTAAAAGTATTGATATTTGTTTGTATACGCACGTATATACATGTGTTAATGTGTGTGTGTGTGTGCGTTTACATGCTTACATATGTTTGGTGTGTGTGTGCACATCTTATCCAATTTTATTTTATACTCATCTTAATAATATATAGAGCAAAGTTGCTAAAACCGTTGTAATCGCT